TGCAATAACTGCCCAGAATTCTACATAGGAGAAACAGGAAGAAAATTGGAAACCAGATTGACAGAACACAATAAAAAAACCGTTCTTTTTCAGTAATGGCTTCACAGTGGCATTCCTAACCAGTTTCCTACTTGCCCAGCTGCTTAGTTTGGAAGGGCGGCCTGATCTGGGTAATGACTGTGTGGTATGAAGCACATTCCATTTCTTAATAATGGACTTCACTGTACTGAAAGGGATAATCAGTGACTTTGAAATTTTCTTGTAATCTTCTCCTGATCTGAGTTTCTCTACCACTATCCCTGACTTGTTTGGAAAGCTCCTTGGTCTTAATGGTTGGTTTGTCATATCACTGTGTGTGTTGTGGCTTGAACAGATGCATTTACTCTGAAGTTAAATTTAGCCTCTTTGATTACATACAGACAAACTAATCTTTTGCACCTGAACTGATTTAAGGTTGCCGTAGCAAGGGAGTTGAATACTTATGCAGTTGAGAATATTCTAATTTTCTTGATATAATACTTGAAATTTCAGGATTTTTAGTTACATGTGCTTTAAAGCTATTTCATTGTACACTGTTAATGTTGTTTCATGAAAGAAATAATTTTAAAAAGTTTGTTGGCATTTTCTCAGCTTGTATCATTTAAAAAATGGTTTACAATTTTACCAACATCTCAGTGAAACAGTGCTTTTGTTATTGTTAACACCTTTAGAGAATGTATTGATCCATTTACTGAACAATGTACATATATTATCTCCAAGTAAATGCTATACAGGGTATACATCAGTTTATTGTAAGTGTTGCTTTATATTGGTTGGGAAATTTACTTGAATGAATTTATAATATACATATTAAGATAAAGTTTAGGAATGCATTGCTTAAGGAAATTACAGACCTTGTTGAGAAATGAAAGTTTATTAGAAAATAAATAAAAAACAGTTTCCAAAGTTGATTTTATTCTTATCATTTTAATATACATTGTAGATATAATGCTGGGATCAAGCTTTTCCTAATTGCAAGTTCTGGGAAATTCCTTCAACATGAATTGATTGAACTAATAGCCAACTAATAACAGACGTGTTTTCTCAACAAAAGCTCTCACAGTGGCTGTACTGGAAAAAAGAATATATGCACTGATTGAAACAAAGCAAACCATGAAAGCTCGAAAGATTAAAAATCATAGACAGAAAAATGTGCTTAAACTCTTCAGCAATAAAGAAGCAAACAGAATTCCTCTAGACAAGTTGATTAAATGCCCTTAAACAGTTAGCAGTAAAGAATATTCCTAAACGTATTTGTTTAGGGGGGGTGTATTTGGTAGGTTATGGAACATTTAACAAAACTGTGTACTGAGCCATGCAATACAGTGACAAAACATGTACATGTAGCTAATTCATTAATGTTCTTGCTATTTTGTTGATAATGTACTTGGGTGAGACATCATGAAGTTTTTTACATGGGCCACGAAAAGTAATGTATTCTTAATGCCACTCTAATATTGGTTTTAAAATGCTTAATACAATGTATGAGTAATTGCTGTTAATTATAAAAAGATTAGTTTCTGGATGTCTATTGCTTAATCTCAGCTGTTCCAGAATTGATTTCCATTGCCATTCTAGTGATAGGTTATGTATCATCACCAGGCTAGTTATCTTACATTTTCTTCAGAATTCTCCTGCTTAATTATATTTTAGTATGACACAAGAGTTAGCCATAACACTTAATCTAGGCAGTTTTACTGGATTTGTGTGGTATGAGTTTTCAAGACTTTTTATTTTTAATTTTCAATCTGGTGCAGGAATAAGTAGTTCTTGTATGTAGTACATTCAAAGCTGTTGAGGATAATGTGAAACAGGTAAGTATTGTCAGAAAGTTAATTATATGATAAACTAATTTAATATTATACAGGATAGTACAAAAATTACACAACATACATGATTTCTAAAGCCTGTGCTTACTATGATACTTCTAAATCATGTCTGTGTTTCACTACGGTGTGTTTTGTTTATTACAATAATTGTTTGGTGCATCATTAACCTTGCAAGAATGTAAGCAAGTGATTCAGTTGGGTTATTGTGTCATGATGGCAAAATTACACATTTCAAACAAGTGTAAATGTGGAACTTGAAAAAATTGTGGTTTTGTGTATGTGTGTCTTTTGCATAATTTTTTATTGTTCAATTTCATTGGTAGCCTTGTGTAACAATGAAGCTAACTTCCATAAGAAATATTACAAATAGTTTTGTCTGTCTCTTAAAAATATTTATTTACATAAAGAAGTAAACTACATTTTCTTGAATGAAAATATATAATAAAAAATTATGGGTGAACTTCCATTTGAACGTGACATGAATTATAAGTTTAATAATTTTTTTAAAATTTAGATGTTTTCCAAAATATTCTGTTTTTCATTATTTCCAGTATTTGGCTTACAAAATTTGTAGTGCTTGTATATTTCAAGTATTAGTTATTACATAAAAAGACTAAATTATGTTGTATCATAAATTCTTTTTTCTAAGTGTTTGCAGTACTTATTGTTAGAAGAAACTGGAAAGGTTATAAAAAATTCATATGCATGTGCTGCCTTGGAAGCATATAAGAGTATTTTAATTTTTCAACTGTTTAGTAGTATATTTTCATTATCAGTAGTACATATAAAAGCATTTCATAATAAGACAGTATTTTAATTTATTTTTTCACTTTTTTGTTGTAGTGGGAACTACCTGGTTCGTGTCCGTGCCCAGGTCATGACCAGGGATGATACTCAGGGTGGATGGTTTCCCATGGGTGGTGGAGGACTCAGCAATGTGTCTGTATGTAAACGACTTGTTCCCTCAGAGAATGATTCCAAGCATGAATATCTCATTTATGGTAAAAGGATATCTGACCAGTCAGTAAGTAGTCTGATTATTTTACATGTGGCTGTAGTGAAAATTTCTTTATTGTATGACTTGTGCAGGAAGGCAACTAATAACAGCTGTATCTTCTTGACAAAAGCTGTAACAGTGCTCATACTAAACAAAGTGTGAACTAAAAAAACATCCATACTAAAAACTGTACGTTGGTTAAAACAACTAAAGCAAACCATAAAACAAAGAA